AGACACTTTAGTCTGCCTTACCTATGGTCTAGCCATGCAGAGGAAATCACCAGGAGATATGACTCAAGAAACTCCTGGGCAAATGAATAGAGAGCTTTTGAAACTCCAGTTTGAGAACTGTGCATTTTTTTTTTTTTCAAATTTATAAGCACAGCAAGCAGTTTGAAGAGATATCCGACAGGAAAAGGTAACAGCAGCATTTAATTATCTATAGCAGCCAACCTTTAGGTCTGAGAAATCTTCTACTGCAAGTTTCTGATCTTCAGAGTAGACCATCATAAGATAGAACACCTGAGATGCCTAATTTTTGACAATAAGACCATATACAAGGGGTTTTTGAGGTTTTTTTAAACACTAACAAGGAGCAAGGCAGATCACAAGAATCAGACTATTTATTCTTTTACTGATCACACAGTATACAAAAAGCAAGACCATAATAAACACAAATGCTATCCTCACTCACTGCTGGATGTCACACACTTTCTGCCTTGTTATTTCTTTCTACTTCTTAATCAGAGTTACTTTTAACAAAAAAGAGCCTCCAAAGAGGAAAAAAAAATATCTGAGCAACAACTATCATTCCTCTTTCCTAAGGCTGGCTGTATTTTACACCATGATTGCTTCTCAAGTCTTGAATGTCGCAATTACTTCGGTCTCGGAACAAATCACTTCTGAGGAAAGAGCTCAACTAGAAAGAAGGAAAATTAGTTTTGAGGCTACATGAACAATATGGTTTTGTATCCTGATTTATACTTGAAGAGTGCAAAGAAGAAAAACTAAGGTATTTCTTTTAAAACAGTTCTAACAAACAAGTCTTTGGTGCAGCCATACTCACTTCCCATACTACTGCTTGCCTCCAAGTGTTGGGCAAAAGTGGCATTTTGCTGGCTTGATCTCAAGAAAACAAATTTTCTCCTTCCAAGGATATCTCCCTTAACATTCTGGCAGCTGCTGTATAAATGCCTTTTAACTTCTCTTCCTATCCATTTCCTGAAGGGGGACAAGAACCTGTTCTTGCTAGAGCTGAAGAGAATACAGAAATAAATGAAGAGTTCCAATTTTTTAAATGAAATAAATTTGTGGTAAGAGAAAGACTGAAGCAGTGTCAGTTAAAATTAATGATGTGGAAATTAGTATTACTGACAGTATTAGGTGCCAACTTGACTTGTGACGCACTTTTCCTTTTAACATGCCAAAACCAAGATGATTCTCAAGAAGTTAAACACTAGAAATCCTGGCTTTGTTCTTTCCTAAATTTATTTGTAATCTCTGAGGGGAGAAATTGTTTGGCAAGCAATTGGTACCTATTCTTTGTTATATGGTTAAAAGAAAATTGTACTCAATTTGCTCTGACCAAAAGATCTTGAGCCAAACCCATCCCCAATGCAAGAAAGTCAAACTTAAAAAACGTAGCTCAAAGTGTTCTCAAGGTTAGAAGCACAAGATAGCCTTGAAACACTAATTATTAATTAGTGCTTTCACAAAACATAATGCTAGTAACTGCTAGAAAACTGCATTTCACAAACATTTTTCTTCATATTTCAGCCCCGTGTGGAGTCGCAGCAGCTCATCATCATAGCCAAGAACAAACACTGCCAAGATCAAGCAGCACTAGTGTGACCCCAGAGAGCCTATGCATGCATGTGGACTCAGGAAACTATACATACATGGAAAATTAATCATGGACACAAGTCTTTGTATGGTGAAGTCCACAGACTTTTCCCTGCTTGTTAAAAAAAACATATTTAAAACATCAATTATGCAAAAGCACAGGCAAGTCTTTATCTAAATGTAAAGTTTCTGGGGAAAAATATTTCCATTTTTTAAACACAGCAATACCTTTTTCTTTTTATGTTGGTTAGGATATAATCTCTCCACCACCAAGAGACAATAAATAAATAAAACAGAAAGGAAAAAAAACCACACAAAAGGACAACAGTGCAGTCCTATTTCAATGCTAGCAAGAAACTGAAGAATTTAAATAGCAGAATCTGAAATAACAGGTTTTGTTCTTTCCAGTTAATGCTAGTGTGCTATTATATGTAACATCTAAGTATAAAAAAAATTGCTAATTGTTTTTTATAATATATAGGGATCTACAGCAACTTCGTGAATTGGGAGATAAAGACTGCTTTTCTGAAAGGAAATTAAAATCTTCAGAGTTCATTATTTTGTAAAATACTTACACTGGAACTCCAGGGTTGGTTTTGGTTTTTTTGCATCCAGTTGAGAAACTTGTTTACTGAGCTCCCTCACGTCCCCCCATTTGTGACTCAAGCTACTTCCCAGCAAAACAGCCTTCAGCAGTGGCACACAGACAAAGTGCTTTAAGCCCGAGGACACCAAGTCAGGGATCCCAGTGTCCATGTACCTGTAGCAGAAGTCCCCCCTGGCTCTCAGAGGTGCGGGAGAAAGCAAAGGGAGACCCTGGGGTGCTGAGTCAGCACTCTGCCAGCCCAAGGCAGCCCCGGAGAACGCCACAGCAGCAGGAGCTGACGCAGCCGCTGGGGCCATCACAGAACACGCAGCAGGTAAGAAACTCAGCCTGCGTACAGGGCCCGATTCAAAATCCACTTACTGCCGCTGGCTTTAACAGACTTTGAATGGGACCTCAATACACAGAAGAAATGGGAAGACCTAGAGAATTTAAAAGAACAAACTTCAACCCAGGAAACTTCAGGACAGTCCCTTCTTCTAAAATTGTGCCAAGCCACAACACACATAGCTGTAAGTGCTTTTGACCACAGAGATGGACATACCCTTTTCTCCACTAGCCTTTATTCTCTTACCCTTCTGTCACTGGTAGGACTTCTTGCAAGCCTAGCACAAACAGCATTAGCTTTTTTCATCCCTACCCAGGCATGCAGTCAAGAAAACTGTCCATAAACAGGAGGCAGAGCTGTGGTATCGCTGTACCACCACTTATGTATTGCTACACAAAAGGAGGAGGCAACAGGCACAAAAGGCTAAGAAAGAACTGGAATACAAGAGCTACATTTCAGGTACAGCTATGTGTTAGTACAATGTTCACTAGTTAATCTTTCCAGGGCAAGCACCCAGGTGCTTTCACTCTCTCTGCATTGTTACTATAGAGGTTGGCTCCTATTAATGATTACCTTCCTCAGACTGCAGCACAGTCTTTCTTCATTGCTGGCACTGCTAGTTAGAATGCCTTTTCCAAATCTCAACACACCGGACAAATTACCATCCCCTCAACAATGCCAAGATTGGTAGAGATATCTATTGTGCATACCTAGATCTCTACAAAACAAATGACAGCTTAACACTGCTCCCTTCCCTGGATAAGCTCACACAGCTGTTGTAAAGTTTTAATATTTCATGTTGAAGTCACCACAATTACAAATAACAGCATCTACTTAATATTCCCTGCTATTATGTGCAAGAAAACAGACACAGCAAACAAGCAAGATATAGACAAAGCACCAAATGAGTTTACTATAAAGGTAATGCTTGCCTAAAGACACAGGAGAAAATTGTATAAAATAATTATAGCCACAGAAGTATATTCCTAGGTCAGGACCTCATAAATCAGTTTCAACTAACAATAAAAGGTTTATAGGGCATTTGTAAAGCACAAAGAATGAATAGGATCCTGGCCCCAAGTAAAGCTTGGTGAATTAATTTAAGATGGCAATCAAGAGCAGATAACACAACATGAACCTTACCCTAAGTTTGAAGAAAGATGGTTTCCTTTGTCTCCAGGAAGAGGTAAGGGGGGAAAAAAATCAAAACACCACCACGAAAAACAAGAAACGAGACAGAAATAAAAAAAAAAAAAACCAACAGAGAGAAAGAGACTTAGCTACCCCACCTGGCACAAGAGGGTTTTTTTCATTGCTCAGAGCAGTGGGCTTAAAATTTCACTCGTGTTCATGCAAATTTCTCCCATCCTAGAGCCCTCTCTCCCAAACAAGTGGGCATTGTCACACTCCACCTTCAGTTTTAGAGGCAAAAAATACTATCCTTTCCTATCATGGTGACAGACATAATGCTGAAAAAACATTAAATGCTTCCCCGTTGTGTTTGGGGATTTTTTTTAAAGCTGTAACTAGCAAAGCTTACGAGTAGCAGGTACCCTAAAGTGCTCTCTGCACCAGCAGCTAAGTCAAGTAAAACATCACTTTCAGCACCACCATTACAGGAAGTACGGCTAAGACTTATCCACCAAACAACACCACCACCACTACCGTCCTCCATTTTCAAGCCTGAGTAACCTATCTCATGGCTCTTACACACTGGGAACATCCAGAGGAGAAAGTGCCACGGGCTGCAGGCGTGCTGAAAACGCTGAGCCTGAATCCCCCCACTGACCGCAGATCAGCTCCCCTAAAGGATGCTGGGCAAGCCACAAGCCTTCTGCGCCTGAATTCGTATTTGTTTAAGAGCAGCGGCAGCACTTGTGACGGGGAGGGGGGTAAAATGGTAAAATGCAGGTTGCAAGACAGGAGCTGCTGGGCCAAGCTCAGGGAGCCTAAAAGAGCAGGAGTCGGTATTGCCACGTATTGGGGAGCAGAGGGGAGGGAGGAGACGCGCCTCAAAAAAACAGAGATGATTATCTGACAAGGGCTGGTTCTGCCTTGAAGATGTGCTTTATTGACTGGCTTGGGCCGCTTTAATCTGCGTGTGCTGCAACACGACGCACAGCTGACCCCTTACAGAAGCCGCACAGCTGGCGGCCCCCAGAGGGGCCAGATCCAACCTCACTGGCCTCGAAAGGGGCTGGCGTTGCAGCCGCATTCCCCAGCACCACGCCGTGCTCCCAGCCCCGCTCTCGCCGCTGGCCCCCGCTCATGCGGGCACGTCCCGCGTGGATGCGCATCCCGCGGGAGAACAGCGCGGCGAGCGCAGCCGCCCCCGGGGTCCCGCCGCGGCGCACCGGCGCTGGCAGCAGCACCACGAACCGGCCCAGGCCGGTCTGCACGCAGGAAAGATAAAGAGAAGCGCGGGGAGGGAGAGGCGGGGGTGCCAGTAAAGATGCCGCCCCCTCCCCGCGGCCCCTCCGCCGCCTGCTCGACCGCCTCCCGCCGGCCCCGTGCACGCCTCACCTCAGGGACGGCTCTGCGGGCTGCGGACCCCGAGAGCCGCCCGGCCGAGCCGAGCGGAGCCGAGCCGTGCGTGCGGCGGGGGCGCAGAGCTTCTCGGCGGCGGTCAGTCCCGCGGCGCTGCCATGCGGGCGAGCAGAGGCGGGGCGGGCTCGGCTGCTAGCAGCGTCCTGCAGCGCGCACCCGCATGGCTCGGCGTGCGGACAGCACCGGCTGCCGGCGGCGGCGGGGCCGGCGGGGCGGCGGCCAATGGCTCCCGCGGCGCCGCGCATGTGAGGGCCGGGCCGGGCCGGCCCCGCCCGCTCGCCCCCCGCGCAGCCGCCGCGCTCAGGTGCCGCGGGCCGGGGGCGGGAGCCGCCGGGGCTGCGCCGGGACGTGTCCGCGGGGCGCGGCGGGAGCCGAGCGGCGGGCGGCAAAGCCTGTGGGGTGTTCTCGGTGCGCAGGTAAACGGAGCGCAGTGCGTGAGCCAAATAAAGCAGCGACAAGTTCAAATTGCGTGGCCTAATTATTAAAATATTATCATGGGGAAGGAGGAAAGTTATTTTGTCTATCTTGAGCCCTTAAGGGAACCAAAAAGTCGAAGGCAGCTTTAGCTTGGGCTGGGGGCGGCAACGCTAGGATCGCAGGGATGGATTCCTCCGCGGCGGTTCCAGAGGCTGAACACAGAACACTGAGGAAGAAGCCGAACTGACCCTGATCCTCATCCCGAAATCCACTAGAAAATTTTTTTCCTCCTTTAACTGAAAAGCCACCGAGATCCTTAAATAGTTCTTAAACACTGGGCAGTCACGTGACCAGACCTGCGGGTCTTTTTAACTGGATGTGCTCTATTACTTTTGAAAGTGTATTGGTCTTGATGAAGAACGGAATTAAAAAAAAAAAACAAACAAAAAAAAAAAACAAAAACAAAAAAAAAACGAGCTTATCTTTTCCATATTGTATTTCCTCCCCATGTTTTCAAGAACTGGAAGAGATGGGAAGTGATTCTTGGTGCTTGTTCAGAATAGCTTTGTGGCCCTTTAAAGACTGAGAATTTCCCCTTTATATTTTTAGATGCATTTTTAATCAGACCTTCTGGTCTAAATGACTGTATGATTTATCTAAGGTTACAAATTAAAGTACTTCTTAGCAACAATTCACTCTGAGACCAGAAAAAATCAGGCCAGCTTGTCCTGCTCTCAGCTGTTCGGCACTATTTTCATACCAGAGTTTTCATCTGGTGGGGAATTTTAGCAGAGCTCAGATTTAGTCTAATGAGTTAATAAGTCAATTATTTTAAGCTTTGATTTTTAATACCTTCATTTGGCCTTTTAGCTATTTTCTTCCCTGGGATCATTATCACTTGTGTTATTTTTGGCCAATATTTTAGACCTCACTGTTTTCTCAATAAGGTGATTTTATTATCTATTTACTTATTTCTGCTCTGACCCAGTGGCCAAGGCACATAGGGTGTGTAATACTGGAGCTCCACAGTGAAGGAGGTTTAATAGAGATAAAAGCAGTCCAATCTGGTAAACATCAAGGCAAGTGAAAACAGATAATAACAAGAGCTGCTTGCTGGGAAATCCTGACTCGAAGGCAGCTGGCAGAGAAATTCAAGCGGAAGAAAAAAGGATTTTTTTAAATGCCAGAGCTGGTCAGAGCTGGCTGAATCCACATTTGCTTAGCAATCAAGATACTTTGCCAAGCTGCGGCACACCAGAAAAACAAACAAATGGCTCTGGGGACCTGAGAGAGAAGACACCTGGAACTGGGCAGATCCGGATCCAATTAAGACTCCCTTTCCAACAGGGCAAACACAAGTGTGAAGGACTTACCTCCTACAGAACATATGTTGGGTTGCTGGTTTGGTTTTTTCTTTCACTTGTTTTGGTATGTATTTAAAGGTAACCCAAATGGGTTTTAATTTAAACCTCTCCATACCCTCTTTCAAGTTTAGCTTGTAGAGACTTTTCCCACTGTTTCAGGTTTGGTCTTCCCCAGGCTCAAGTCTGAGTACTTTTGGGCAGCTCTTTCTAGATTGCTGTTTCTGGCTCTGACCAACTAGGACATGCTGAGGTGGGACAGAAGATAGAGGAGGGAAATTACAAATCTAAAAGAGCTCAGTTTGGGGCAAATAAAAATCCCAGCTATTCTGTTATCCTGCTATAGTCTGTAGGCAAAAGTACAAGTCAGCTCACTCCAAGTTACTCCGTGTGATAAAAAAAAGATACAAGAAAACAGAGGCTGTAGGGGGAAAATGGCTCTCTGCCACTTGCACAGTTTTGACATTAGCCCTGTACAATTAAATAAGCTAATATTGTTGTTTTGATTTGTGGCTTGAAAACTGAGTTAGTGATTACATTAACATGCAATAGCAGTGTAGCCATATGCTTTACAGGATAAATCAATCCTGTTTGGTTTAACAACTGCATTTTAGTTTCAATTTTTCAAATTCCATAACCTTGAGTAGCCAAATATGTCATATTTTTCAATCTTATTTTTATCCTCATTCTTATATAATTAAAAAATGTTAGAAAATATCAGCCCTCCAACAGAGTTATGGTTTTGGCCAGGTTGAAAGCCGATCATTTATTCTGAGATGATTTCCAGTACTTTCCTTCTTTCACTCAAACAGCCATACTGTGCATCTCATACGTACCTGCATGACATTGTCCAGCAGGGGTCCAAGTTCACTCCAAGGGAGCCAGCTGCAGAAGAAACACCAGCAGAAGGTGAACATAAGGAAGAGATGGTGTCAAAAATAGAGTGCACCAGTGGTTCCTCAGAATATGGTGAGAAAATTCCTTACTGGGAGGTATTTCAGTCATGGCTTTGAGTGGGCTGACAAATTTTTCTTCCAAGCAAATTTAAGATGAAGGGGAATTTTGATACTGTGGATTAGACAAGATAACATTTAAATATGCCTTCCAAATAATAGCTTCTATTATTAAGAAGTAGCTGAGGTAGCAGCAACTCAGGAAGAAGTGTGGACGGCTACATAGAAGAGGCACAGGCAGGGAATTGGCTTTCCCCTCTCCAGAAACGGCAGTCTGGCTTCATGGAATGGGCAAAGCATGAACGGGAAGACTCCAGTTTAAATAAGGAGGAGGATGCATATGAATCACTCCTCTTGGCTACTGGCCACCTGTTTTGAAGAGTGTTTCTAAGTGCTGAGCAGCTCAGCCTGTGGTGTTCACCCAGGACACATGGACAGGATGATGGGGCTGCAGCTCAGTCTGCCCCATCACCAGGGCAAGCTGTCAAAGCTTTCAGAAAGTCTAATCAAATTATCAGACAATCCTCCTTTTGATACATTTTTTACTGACAATCCCAAAGATATTGAAGAAACGAAAAAAAGCATGGATTTCCGCTATAAAAAGCATTGCAAAACCCTGTCCCTACTAGGTTCATTTGTAATTCCATCAATAAAATTCCTGCTAACCAACTTTCTTTGCCATTATATAACTCCATTATGAACAATTATCCAGACCCGTGTTACCACTTTTTCTGAAGATACTTTGCTATTACGCTTGTCTTCAAACACCTGGCACAGCAGCTCCTGTATTAAAAACACAGTGACTCTTAAAGGCCTTGAGAGCCAGCCTACTCTGGTTGGGATTCTCCGAGCCTCTGAACTTCCTGGATGGAAAAAAATCACTGCTTACCTTGTTTTTGTGCTGAAAAAAGGAATGAATGACTGTACTACACAAACAGCAGTTTCTACTTACATCCAGAACTCCCCAATGTTCTCACCAGTTCTTTTGTTTCATTTGTGACAATATGTCAGCCACCCAATGTGCAGTTCCATTTCTAAAAATTTGGGGGTTGAAGCCTCATTCTTAGCAAGTACCTTTGTATTTTGAAACAAGAGCAGAAGCCATGATGGTGTGCATTGCAAGCAGCATGTGTTATCACACTGCAGCTCAGCAAAGTTTTTCAAATGATGGCAGAACATGCTGGCTGCTTCTGATTACACAGAAGACCTAATTTTGGCGAGTTCTCAAATTTCATCCATTGGATATACAAACAGGTAGCCAATCTGTTTTATTCTGTACTTATCAATAAAGGACTATAAAGTCCTTTATTAAAAACACACAGCATCATACAAGATGGGAGGAATGGCAGGAAGGCCATAAACTGAGCTGCAGGCAAACCTGCCCTTCACCCTGGCAGCTTGCCAGGGCAGGACTTGACTTTAGCAGAAGCAAGAATATGGTTGTGCGTTGCTTGGCCAGCCCAAGAGAGAGCCCATGTCAGCCAAATGTACTGTCTGGTAACATGGATCTGTATAGTCAGTGCCCAGGCAGGATTCACTGCTGAGATGTTGAGTACCTTCAGATCTGTAGAGCCAGTGGCTGAGAGAAGGGGTTAGTCTGTGCCAGTCCACTTAATCTGCTTAGCTCTTCCTATTTTCTTTATTTTGCACTTTACTGCTTCTTTGATCTCTGCCTCTTCTGCTCAACACCATTTCCACAATTACTAAATGCTAAACACGTAGACTGAACAGGAAATAAAAATTAAAAAGCTGTCATAATCAGAATTAGCAGGGTAAGACCAAAAAAAGCTTTCAGGTGTCACACTTTGTCCAGCCCTGCTCTCTGGAACAGTTTCCCAGCTTTCCCCAGGACATTTCAGTCTGTTATTTCTTCCTTCAAATCATGCCTGAAAGCCCTTCTTTCCCCTTCAGATCTCAATTGGCTTTCTCAGTGAAATGGCTGTGGCTCCATGTGCAAACGGAGTGACACAAAACCTGAGTGCCCTACCTGGATCTAGGACAATGGTGGCCTTTAAAGAAATGGCAAGGCAGTTACCTTCAGAGTGCTGAGCTGTACCTGTGCTAGCACTTAACCTTTACTTCCCCAATCACACAGGTACAATAGTTAGACCTTGCTGATTTTGTTATTCCTTTGGAATAAGTTTCCTTAAAACAGCGTAGCCACAAGGGTGTAATGAGGTGCACAGCTGGGCAAAGCTTTCTGAGCAGCAGGAGGAAAAAGAAAGAACATATTGCTCTGAGCCTACAAATGACTGATCTCCAATCATTCAAATGGCTAAAGATTAAGGACTCACCCAACTAGGTCAGGAAAAAAAATACCCCCACCCCCACCCCCCAAAAAAAAACCCAACCCAAACCCAAACAAACAAAAAACCCCCAAAACAACAACAAAAAAACCCCCACTTGCAACCACCAAAAAACTACCAAATTTGAGGAATATCAGGCAAAAACAGCAGGGGGAAAAAAGGGATAAGGGAGTAATATTTATATCTTATATGCTGCATTTTCTCTCTGCCTTCCTATTCTACCATGGAACAAAGAAACCACTAGTCATTCTGTAGGAGACTAGAGAACGTTTATTTTAAAATGGAGCTCCTTAATCAGAGGTACTTAGAGCTCTTTTCCCGCCTCAAGAACTGAGAAAAGGCTGCTTTTTTTTTTTTTTTTTTTTTTTTTTTTTTTTTTTTTTTTGTGCCTGGAAGCTTACAGAACCCAGACTTGCCAACACAGCACTAAAAGAAGTTGATTTTGCTTGAAATGGGCTATATTATTCTTCTTGCCTTAAATGCAGCACATTCTGCTAGTCATGTGTACACATTATAGATCAAACAAAATCAATTGCTCCATTCTATCAATTCTACCCAAGGGAAAACATAGCAACAACATCATATAAATTCACCTCTGAAATTCTCTTCCCAACACTTTTTAAAATACATTAACAGCAAACTAAAGTATTCCGGTCACTACAATTCTACAATTAGATATCCACTGTCAGTCTAGCATCACTCCGTCCACTTTAACATAAACACACCTTAAAGATTCCAAGTACTTCTGTGATTCCTGTGCACAGCCACCATGGCATTCAGCACACTAACTTTAAAGCCTACTTAATCTCCTGTTCCAAAGACTGATACAAAGGAGTGTTGCACACAGGGAAGGACAGGGAAGAAGGTTACTCTAATATCCAAATAATTTGTTTTCTCTGCATTTAACTCAGATATAAATTAATTGGAGAAAGCACTGGTTATATTTTTATATCTTAGAGAGCATAAAAGCAGCAAATTCACTGCCAACACTGTATAGCCACCACAAAACATATACCTTCCCCAGCCTCAAACACCTTCAACTTATTACCATTTAGAAATAGGTAAAGGGAGAAGGAAGGTCTGATCATGCCTTAACCTAAAATAACGTTTTGCTTTGTCAGGTTAATTATATGTTCTGACATCAGAAGCTGAAATTAGCAGACGATTTTCCCTTGGGTTGCCCAGACACTGTAGAATGAATCATGCCCGCTCTTGTGCTGCACCCGGGACCGCGGAGAACGAGGGATGGAAAGACCAACATATTTATTTCCTTGCTCTGATCCCTGTGGCTAGAGAGCCATAGCTATGATCTGGCTTTGTAGGGGCTGTGATGTGGCTGGCTGGTATTGCTGTCATCCCAAGTGTGGCAAAAATGGCCATCAACTACCAATGGGTGCATTTCCACTGTCACAAAGGCATATTCACTGCTTTCCTTTGATCCTAGTGTGAACCCATGGCACTAGAGTTTCTCAAAATGTCACTGAAACTTTCTGAAATTAATTTGACATGACAACAGTGTTCAACACAGGGCATTCTCCTCGGAAAAAAATACAGCCAGATGTTTTAGCACTTTAAATATATAAAAAACACACCCCAAGTAACTAAGATGCCCTCCTCCTCCTTACAGCTATTTAGCCCAAGATACCCTGAAGTTAGCCTGTGTCTTAAATCTTAGAGCACCCAGACACATCTTTTGCTTGTCTCGTTCTTGTTTTTTTATACCTAAAGTTCTCCTCGCATTTTGTTTCCATGGCGGCTGCTTTTCAACTATTCCCTCTCTCAGATCCCTTTTCCCCTCGTCCATTCACGCTGTTAAAAGCTCCCTACGGGGTGCAGCAGAGCAGCCTGCAGTTACCTCCGTGCGCCCCTGCCCTCTTCCCTCGTTCCTGGGGCTGCTCCTGCCGAGCCGCGCCTGCTCCTCCTCCTCTCGCGGAGCTCCCTCTGCTGTTGGACGGAGCTGCGAGCCCGCGGGAAGCCCGAGCGCTGCTGCCGGAGCAGGATGGATCTCCGGCGGGGCAGGATAAATAAAGGAGCAGCATCCTTGCTGCTCGCCTCGCAGGGCTGTTCTTTCTGTCCGAGTGTCAGAGCAATAGGGAAATTTGCCTTCGTGTTCTGTCTCCAGCTGTTTAGAG